CCTGACAGTGTTCAAAGCCTCAAAAAGTAACCGACAACTTTCATTCCACAATTCAATTTCAATTTCTTTCTTTATTATGCACCTCATACCCATCCCGTGGGCGGTGGTGGAAAGGGTTATAGAGGCCCATAATGGGTTCAGGGACTGAACCCAACAGTTCATTTAGCTAAGCCAGTGACAATTTTTTTAATCTAGTTACACAATTGTTAATTTTACATACACATGTACATATATATATATACATTCATTTACACAAATGCATATACATATCAGTAATCTTTTTATATCACAAGTTTCACTCCACAACACACACTAACATCACCACAACAATTCCTTTAGAGCTGAATGTCTCCTGTTATTTATACCTAAAAAACTGTGGATGGAGGTGGCTTCTACTACCTCTTTGTCTGGCTCCATTTTCTGCTTTTCTTACGTTGTTTAGTGTCCATCCAGGTTCTTTCGTCCTTTTGTTGTTCATCATGAACATTTCCTCCTTTCCCACCTGTTCATTCCCTTGAGTGTTTGACACGAGTCTTTACAATCGTCTCTCGCTTCTACCGTTGTTGGGTCCAGCGCCATCTACCTTTAAAGTTCCGCGTCTCATTGCAAACTCTACTGCTTTATAAGTTTACGTTTGTGCCTTTTGAGGTGGGGGTTCCAGGTCGGGCTTATGTACTATAGAATTGGTCTTACGTAGGTAATGTTCAGAGTTTTTAATTTCTCTTTACTGAGGTTCCTGAGGATGTTTAGATGTTGGCTAGTATCACACATGCCGATGACATTATACTGTTTATGTGTGTGCTTCTGTAGTCAGACTTTTCTACGTCATTATTATTTTTTTCCATTTAGTTGATTCTAGGAAGAGGTTCCCTCCATAGTGTACCACTTTCAGCATCTCGTCTATATTTCCAGCACTTTAAACTTACCTGTATTAAATTACTGGAGCATTTCTTGGACCAACTCGGCAGCCACTGTCTTCCGGCAGTCTCCGACCATTTTCTAGTGCAACAATTTTTGGCCTTTGGTAGAGTATACGTCAAAATGTGCCGTTCTATTAGGAGGATGAGTTGGCTTATCAGCATCCCCAGGCTGTAATTTAGTGCCTTCCCTCCTCCCATGTCTGTTCCTTTTCTTATTCATCGGTACCACATCAGCAGTCTTCCAACTGCTGGGCACCTCGCTCTTCGCCAGTGATGCACTGAAGATCAATGTTAGACTTATACGTAAGGTCTGTGGGGCTTCTTTCATCATACATTATGATAATTACCCGGTCCGACAACTTTCGTTTCATCTAGAACCTGATCAGTCGTCTCATTACCTCTTGTGTTGCAGAAGAGGTAATGAGCCTCATCTCTGAGGTTGACCTCCTCTCTCGCTACTGGCAGCGGGTCTGGTTCATTCTACAATAACCCATGAAGGCTGACATTTATTTGTTCACAGAGAGACTTGACATTTTAGGAAAGATTTTTTTAATTTTGTTCTTGCTTATTTATCCTGTGTTGTCTTGTGTCTGCCATCCTGTCTCCTCGTCTGCTCGTCATCACTGCCACCACCACCTCATTCCCCACTCTTTACTGCCCACTCCTTCTCTTGTAAGAGCTAAAGAATCTGGTTATTATTCTTCCTTATCTATTCCCCCTTTCCTCTTCATTTCTCCATTCCTTCCACCCCTCTCTCCTTCTGTTGCCAGCCGTGTCAAGTCACAACAGGAAGAGAACCATATATATTAGTTGACACGGGTCATTAGTGAGACCCTTCTCCATCCAGGTAGACTGTCTACTTTTCCACCTCTGCCTCCTTACCTCCGGAGGTAAGGAGGACCCCTCTTGGCCATGTGAGAGGGGCCAAACATGGCCTCAAAGAGGGCCACCCTCTTTGAGGCCATGTTTGACCCCTCTCCCTCTGACCTCCACACATCTCCCCTTCACTGTGTTTACAACACGTTGACACTTGACATGTACAAGGACCGTGGAATCCAAGGCACCAGGTCTGGTAGGAACCGTTTCACCGCTGTTCCTGGACCAAGCCTCCTGCAAGTAGGTCTAGGCTCTGTGATTGGTCAGTGGTGCCCTGCAGGAGCATGGTCAATGTGCTTTAGTAAGCGGAGCTTAATAGCAGGTCTGTGTAATATATTTTAAGAAATGTTTAAAGTGTGAGTGAAAAGTAAAAGTCTTAGTGAAAGTGAGAGTTGGGGCTGTGTACACTGATATAGTCACTATATGTGACTATATCGGTCACTATATGTGACTATATCGGTCACTATATGTGACCGATTTGATGATAACGATCATGTATATCTTGCCTTAGCATGTGGTGTTGGGGGTTGAGTGCTGGGGACAAGCCTCCCGGCCCTCACCACTTTTACCAGTCGTCCGTGGTGTGGTTGGTACCCTGCTGGTTATATCAGTGTGTGTCTCATGTACATGTCTTTCTAAGGTTTGAATCCTTCACAGAATATAACGGAAACCCCACAGGGAAATGTCATATATATGTCAAAATGTCAAAATGAAAATTTTTCTCTTCCAAAGAAAATGTCAAAATGTCAGTCTGGTGTTAACAACGGTCCTGATCGGGCGAAACGCTCCTCTTTCTTTTCCATTTATCTGTGGATTTTCCGCATACAAATGATGAGTGTTTCGTTGATGTACTGGACTTGTACCGATGACTGACTCTGAATATAATGCATGAGTTATATAACATGTGTGATGTAACTAAAGCTTGAGCTTGTAAAACTATTATAATCACTCTGTGGGTAAATGATTAATAATATACAAGTTTCTATAGCAACTTTCTTACTCTGTCAAAGTAGGAGAGAAATATATATATATGTATGTATATATATATATATATATATATATATATATATATATATATATATATATATATATATATATATATATATATATATATAATATATATATGTATCTACTCATGTGTACTCACCTAGTTGTGCTTGCGGGAGTAGAGTTCTGGCTCTTTGGTCCCGCCTCTCAATAGTCAGTCAACTAGTATGCAGATTCCTAAGTCTATTGGGCCCTTATCATATCTACATTTGAAACTGTGTATGGAGTCAGCCTCCACCACATCACTGCCTAATGCATTCTATCTGTTAACTACTCTGACCCTGAAAACATCTTTCTAACGTCTCTGTGGCTCATCTGAGTACTAAGTTTCCACCTGTGTCCCCTTGTTCGTGTTCCACCCGTGCTAAAGAATTTGTCTTTGTCAAACCCCTTTGTCTTTGCCCTGTCAATTCCCCTGAGAATTTTGTAGGTGGTTATCATATCTCCCCTTACTTTTCTGTTTTCCAGGGACGTGTGCATGTGTATATGTGTAAGCTGATCAAAATTACATTTCAGTATTTCAATGGATCTGCTAGCAGCCGTCTTCAGATTTATTTAATTTAGTTCTCGTCTAATGACTCTTTTTAAGAGTTCTATTTAATAGCCCAAGATAATGTCCGGACAAAACTATTCCTACCTGATAACTGTTAGAGGAGCCTCACACCAAGAGCTGTGAGGCTCCACCACAGCCCACGGAGCCTCACACCAAGAGCTGTGAGGCTCCACCACAGCCCACGGAGCCTCGCCCATAAGAATGTCGACGAAGGGCGTTGATTAAACTCATTTTTGCAGAGGCCAAACTCCTTCCATTACGGCGAGCACTGCCGCCGCTCCCAGAGCTCGCCCTTACTGCCATCTCCCATAAGGCTCTTTTTTCAAATAGCAAAACGACTTGCTGGCAATTTTCATCCCCCTCTTACGGATGGCCTTATGTCCCTGTAGCACGGATGGGAGGGAGAGGGAGGGGGGAAGGGGATGTGTGTACCTACCTATCAGTGACTACGAGGCTGTGAGGACTAGTTCTTTGTGTCCCGAGTCGCTGGTATCGGGTGCAGGTTTGTACTATAACTTGATGGTTGAGAACCTTATATCTGGACTTGAAGCTGTGGATGGAGATGGCGTCTATGATATATTCCTTCAGTTCATTCCACTTCTTCCATCTATGTTCTCTTGCCCTACTTTTACTCAAGCTAATGAGGCTGTTCTTGTCCAACTTGTTTACTCCGCTCGGTATTTTGTATGTTGTGATCATATACCCTCTCTTTCCTCTCTCCTCAAACATTAAGAGATTTACTTCCACTAACCTATCATCGTAGATTAACCCGCTTGGATGTGTGTGTGTGTGTGTGTGTGTGTGTGTGTGTGTGTGTGTGTGTGTGTGTGTGTGTGTGTGTGTGTGTGTGTGTGTGTGTGTCCTAGTCTAGACGTGTTCGCAAGATCGAGGGTTTTCTTGTATTTACATATGAAACTACGTACTGCGTTAGCTCAACAACTTCTTGATATTCGCCTATTTATTTTGATTTATTTATTAATACAGTACTGCAAATACAAGAGTTGTTACATTCTTGTACAGCCACCAGCACTCATAGCGTTTGGGCAGGTCCTTAATCCTAAAATTCCCCGGAATACCACCCGGCGAAGTGTTTAACAACCAGGTACCCATTCACTGCTGGGTGAACAGAGGCAACATTTAAGGATTGGTACCCGGTCAATCCTCCCCGGCCAGGAGACGAACCCAGGCCAAAGCGCTTGCAGAGCGCCGAGCGAGTGTTTTACCACTACGCCACTTTACCTATTTATGCCTGCAGGATAAAGCTTCCGAACTCTGACCCTCACCTTTCCGGTCGCCGGTCCGAAAGTAATGACGTACATTTATTACACGAACAACGGGTTCGAGATCCACCTTAAGTACAGTCTCTAAGGAAAGCAACTTACATATGCAGTGACCTTGTGTCATAATTGCGGGCGATGAGTCACAATAACGTGGCTGAAGAATGTTGACCAGACCACACACTAGAAGGTGAAGGGACGACGACGTTTCGGTCCGTCCTGGAAAATTCTCAAGTCGATTCAATCGACTTGAGAATGGTCGATTGAGAATCCTCAATCGACTTGAGAATGGTCCAGGACGGACCGAAACGTCGTCGTCCCTTCACTTTCTAGTGTGTGGTTTGTGTTATAATTCTCTCTGGTCATCAGTGCCGCCACCTCTCCGGAGAGCAGCAGTGGTCATCCACCCACATTTACGACCTATAGTTAGCACTGACGAGAACTGGTTAAATTTCTGGTAATAGATCACTTGAAATTAAATATTCGCAAACTTCTGGAACATTTGTTATAGAGCTGTCTCTAAATTCGTGCATCTTTTGTGAGTCATTCCCAGCCCATCATGAGGAAATACTCTCCCAATATATTCCACCAGTGTCATATTCTCCTGTATGTCATATGTCATGACTATGTCATGGTTATGACATCATGGTTATGATATCAAACTACCTAAATAATTGTATTTGTTCAACATTTGTCACAGTTATTCAGGTAACGTATTTCATTAGTTGCAAAGCTGGATGGTTCTATGATCCAACATTTATCGATAGTTCACATAATATTACAAAACTGTCACATAACTTCCGGCATGAAGCTAGTTATGGTGGGTGTTGTGTGTGACGTGTGACGGGACAGTGTGTGGGAGCACACACCTGGCCACCAGGTCCTCCTGTGTGACGTGTGACGGGACTGTGTGGGAGCACACACCTGGCCACCAGGTCCTCCTGTGTGACGTGTGACGGGACTGTGTGGGAGCACACACCTGGCCACCAGGTCCTCCTGTGTGACGGGTCAGTGTGTGGGAGCACACACCTGGCCACCAGGTCCTCCTGTGTGACGGGACAGTGTGTGGGAGCACACACCTGGCCACCAGGTCCTCCTGTGTGACGGGACAGTGTGTGGGAGCACACACCTGGCCACCAGGTCCTCCTGTGTGACGTGTGACGGGACTGTGTGGGAGCACACACCTGGCCACCAGGTCCTCCTGTGTGACGTGTGACGGGACAGTGTGTGGGAGCACACACCTGGCCACCAGGTCCTCCTGTGTGACGTGTGACGGGACTGTGTGGGAGCACACACCTGGCCACCAGGTCCTCCTGTGTGACGTGTGACGGGACAGTGTGTGGGAGCACACACCTGGCCACCAGGTCCTCCTGTGTGACGTGTGACGGGACTGTGTGGGAGCACACACCTGGCCACCAGGTCCTCCTGTGTGACGTGTGACGGGACTGTGTGGGAGCACACACCTGGCCACCAGGTCCTCCTGTGTGACGTGTGACGGGACAGTGTGTGGGAGCACACACCTGGCCACCAGGTCCTCCTGTGTGACGTGTGACGGGACAGTGTGTGGGAGCACACAACTGGCCACCAGGTCCTCCTGTGTGACGGGACAGTGTGTGGGAGCACACAACTGGCCACCAGGTCCTCCTGTGTGACGGGACAGTGTGTGGGAGCACACAACTGGCCACCAGGTCCTCCTGTGTGACGGGACAGTGTGTGGGAGCACACAACTGGCCACCAGGTCCTCCTGTGTGACGGGACAGTGTGTGGGAGCACACAACTGGCCACCAGGTCCTCCTGTGTGACGTGGTCCACACATACACACAAGAGACCATGCACCAGCTGCAAGATTTGTTTGCAACTCCATAATGGAGTTAAGACATCCAATGATCAGTTTCAAGACTGTAACAATCTACCAAAACTTACACAAATTCCAATGCACACAAAAACACAAACGAACACACACAAGTATACACAAACAGGCACATATATGCACACAAGTACACACACACATGAAGAGCCAAACACACACACACCTGACACACACGAACACCTTGCAAGGCGAGGGCCTGAGCCTGGTGAAGAGGGAATACAGGAAGCTATACATAGCAAGGTGTCACTTTCAGCGGCCCTCCTTTTCTCCCTCGCTCTCTCTCAGCCTTCACAAACCCTCCTGTAATGGCATTTGGCCACCCCATTGCCCCTGACTCCCTGCCGTCAGCCCCTGGTGGCCCGCCGGGTCCCTAGCACTTCACAGCCTAGTCCGCCCCTCCCACACCGCCACCCAACTTCCACCAGCAGAAGGCACGACACAGCAACGTCCAGCTGCACCCTTCCTCCCCAGGACATGTCTGAACACAGTGACTGATCCTCGGGGGTATTTCGTGGCCGAGGTTTTAAATGTCTGTCTGTCTCGTTGTGTGTGAAGACCGTGTCTAGCCTTGCTGGCTCATCACCTCTCTTCTCTCCTCCCGGCAAATTGTATTATGAGTTACTTTATACGGCCAAGCCACACACATGAGAGTAAAGGAAGTGAAGAGGTTTCGGTCCGTTCTGGACCATTATGGTCCGTTCTGGACCATAATGGTCCGTTCTGGACCATCATGGTCCGTCCTGGACCATCATGGTCCGTCCTGGACCATCATGGTCCGTCCTGGACCATTATCAAGACGTGTAACAAAGTACCGTGCTACAGTGTAAGGAGGTTCTTGGCCCGAGAACTGGAGGTCGACAAGTGGAGTACATTGGAGAGGTTGAAGCCAGTTCCCTCCACAACTTTAAGACAAAATATGATGAAAACATTAATGTTGAGAGAGATAATGAGCGCGTGGTAAACACGGAGCCAGGGGGGCGGGTATAGTGAGCTACGTCTCACTCTACATACTACCTCAATACTGGAACACTTGATCATATACTCCACTTGTACCCAAGAATGAATATGTAATGCTTCAGTTATACAATGTATGTGATGTAACTATAACTTGGAGCTTGTTGTAGCCAGTAAACATTATACTCGCTCCAGTCTCTCATTATCTTAATGGCATAACTAATTAGCACTAATTACAGAAGCTACAATCTTTTCCCCAATTACAGGTAATATTCTTTTCATCCTGCTGGAGGAAGCTGAGGTGTAGTTACCAAATATAAGCAAGCTTGAATTGAATAGCCAACGGGCTCACCATAGCCCGTGCTACATGGACTCTTCGTTCTGAGTAGCTAAATCTGAAACAACAACAACAACAACATGAATAGCCACATATACGGCCCCGCTCCTGTGCCAGGTAAGTCCACTACGGGCTCACCATAGCCCGTGCTATTTGCCCCGCTCCTGTGCCAGGTATGTTACGGGCTCACCACAGCCCGTGCTACTTGGAACTTGTTTCGAGTAGCTGAATCTATACCAACAGCAACAATGAATAGCCAACAGTACAATTTCCACAGTCAAGAATGTAGCACTCGGCGTAGGCAGTTCTAAGAGTCTCCAAGACGCTACAGCTTCGACACAGAACAGACAGCAGACTAGGAACGCATCGAGCTACAACGCTCTCCCACATAGAGCTCCACGACTCTGGCCTCACTCAGCTCTCTGCTCCAGGCTTCGTCTCAACGTCTACGACACTGCTGTATCCAGGACTACTAAATAAATATGAAACTCACTAAACACTATCTAATCCACCCAACAACGTAACATAATCGTACGTTACATTGTAAAAGCTCCTTAATCACCTTCAGTGGTTGGTTAAGTGCTTACTAATACACTTGTTTTTATAGTAACTATATGACTGTAAAACCAGGACATTATATATGTATGTATATATACATACATACATATATATTATATATTAATATTATATATGTGTATATATATATATATATATATATATATATATATATATATATATATATATATATATATATAAAGTATGTGTATACAGGGTATGTGGGTATGTGTAAGCTGGTGAGGATTGCATTTCACCTTTGTAAACGCACATTATTAACTTTATGTAAAAAGATACCTTCATCACTGTTAATGTAGAACAGACGTAAACCTATGTATTTATGAGTATAGGTTAAATAAGCTTGTTAAAAGCACTACAATCACCTTCCGTGGTTGATCAAGATACCCCTGAACTATATGTTTAACACATGTCTGCAACACGGCTGGCCATGGAGCATCACGGTACACCCCGCTGTATCACGGTACACCCCGCTGTATCACGGTACACCCCGCTGTATCACGGTACACCCCGCTGCATCACGGTACACTCCGCTGCAAGATACTGGAGCTACACGTGGATACACGTGGAAGATACTGGAGGGCCAAGTACCAAATCTACACAGTAAAATAACAACGTACTGGAGTGAACGACATGGAGGAAAATGCAGAATAAAACCAGTGAAGAGCAGAGGTGCCATAGGCACAATCAGAGAACACTGTATAAACATCAGAGGTCCGCGGTTGTTCAACATCCTCCCAGCGAGCATAAGAAATATTGCTGGAACAATCGTGGACATTTTCAAGAGGAAACTAGATTGTTTTCTTCAAGGAGTGCCGGACCAACCGGGCTGTGGTGGGTATGTGCGCCTGCGGGCCGCTCCAAGCAACAGCCTGGTGGACCAAACTCTCATAAGTCAAGCCTGGCCTCGGGCCGGGCTTGGAGAGTAGAAGAACTCCCAGAACCCCATCAACCAGGTATCAACCAGGTACCTATCAATCACGATTTCATGAAAATAATTTGATGTGTACCGGGTAGCGGGTGTGAAGAGGCCCGGTCTGCGGAGCAGATACGGTGCCTGGCAGGAGTGCCACAGCAGCTGTTACTCTGCTCCAGTCACCCCTTGTCTGTATGGCACCCCTCGCCCTCCCGGACCCGCCACACACACACTCTAATACAATGGCACTTTCAATCTCTGTTATCATGGCACTTTCTCGCATACTGTTTTAGTGTTCGTGTGTATTTACTTATTTGTATTTACCTGTGTGTTCCTGCAGGATCGAGCTCTTAGCTCTCGGACCCCGATTTTCTGCTCGACATATTTTATCTATCATATAATCATTCATATATTTTTGTCACCCCCCACACACATACATCCCCTGGATACAGCTCACAAGAGCCGACTACCACTCAGGTGAACAGTGGCATCAGCTGAAAGATCCCACTGAGTATGCGCGCGTGTGCGTGGGTGTATAAGTATCTAAGTGTGATATTACTTAAGTGTAGTCACAGGACCCATTCACTTACTTACATTCATCCTGTGATTACCTGGGTACCTGGCTCCCCAGCTACGCTGGGGAGCCGGTCGGCCGACCGGACAGCACGCTGGGCTTGTGATCCTGTGGTCCTGGGTTCGATCCCAGGCGCCGGCGAGAAACAATGGGCAGAATTTCTTTCACCTTATGCCCCTGTTACCTAGCAGTGAAATAGGTACCTGGGTGTTAGTCAACTGTCCCGGGCTGCTTCCTGCGGGTGGAGGCCTGGTCGAGGACCGGGCCGCGGGGACACTAAAGCCCCGAAATCATCTCAAGATAACCTCAAGAAGATACGCTCGTGGTGTCCCGTCTTCCCAGTACTCTTTGTCGTATAACGCTTTGACACTACTGACGGTCTTGGCCTCCACCACCTTCTCACTTAGCTTGTTCCAACCGTCTTCCACTCTGTTTGCAAAGAAAACTTTCTAATATTTTTTCGGCACCTTTGTTTCCTTTGCTAGAATCTGTGTGCTTACCTACTTGTGCTTGCGGGGGTTGAGCTTTGACTCTTTTTGTCCCGTCTCTTTGGGCCCGTCAATCAATCAACTGATTTTGGGGAGTCCTCCCCCCCCCCACTCACACACCATTCCCCCCCTCTCCCCGGCACGAAGCAGCCCGTAGCAATTGTCTAACTCCCAGGTACCTATTTACTGCTAGATGAACAGAGGCATCAGGGTGAAAGAAACTCTGCCCATTTGTTTCCACCATCGCCGGGGCTCGATCCCCGGACCCTAGGACTACGAATCCGAGCGTTGTGCATTCAGCCGTCAGGCTGAATGCAGAGTGTGGGAGAGGAGAGTGTGGGTTATCTCGAGATCTTGAGGTTATCTTGAGATGATTTCGGGGCTTTAGTATCCCCGCAGCCCGGTCCTCGACCAGGCCTCCACCCGCAGGAAGCAGCCCGTGACAGCTGACTAACACCCAGGTACCTATTTTACTGCTAGGTAACAGGGGCATAGGGTGAAAGAAATTCTGCCCATTGTTTCTCGTCGGCGCCTGGGATCGAACCCAGGACCACAGGATCACAATACCAGTGTGCTGTCCGCTCGGCCGACCGGCTCCCCACAGTGGGAGAGCAGAGTGTGGGAGGCGTCATCAACACCCAGCAGACAGCGCCACACGGGGGGGGGGGGAGCGCCCCAGCCGTCCCGCGCCTTGACGTAAACACCCATAACGATTACTTCTATTTCCGGAGACGAGCTGCGCACTTGTTGTATCTCGGCGCCTCGTGTGTGTGTGTGTGTGTGTGTGTGTGTGTGTGTGTGTGTGTGTGTGTGTGTGTGTGTGTGTGTGTGTGTGTGTGTGTGTGTGTCTCCCCCCAGCCTGTCCTCAGGTCAGGCTGGTCAAACCGGCGGTCATCCCCCAAAGATTTATTCATCAATTTTAAGTACTATATATTAAAAATAGGTTTGTTCTCGCATATAAATTAATATATATATATATATATATATATATATATATATATATATATATATATATATATATATATATATATATATATAGTGAATTGTAAATTATAGGGTAAATTGTAAATTGAATTGTAAACACAATATATATATATATATATATATATATATATATATATATATATATATATATATAATGTGACAAATGGAAGACATAACAAGAAACAATGGGTATTAGTTGGATATGAGAGCATAAGAATGGAAGTAACTGCAGAGGGCCTATTGGCCCATACTTCCTCTTGATGCTGTCTCAAGAGGTCCGAACCTGGCATCCTGGAAGTGACTATAAACATCTGTGACAACATTACAGCAATAGCCGAAGGGATGTATGATCAAAGGGAACAAAGTATATAAATACATAAGTGTTTTTTTATTGTATCGTGTCCTGGTGTGTACAGCGTTAAGTTACGATGTATTAGCTTAGGTTAGGTTTTATCATAACCTTATCAAAACCAACCTGTGTTAGGGTGGTTTTCACTAGGCTAGGAAGTTATTCAACTCCACTAGTGAGGAGTGTTGACCAGACCACACACTAGAAGGTGAAGGGACGACGACGTTTCGGTCCGTCTTGGACCATTCTCAAGTCGATTATGTGGTGAGGAGTCTTAATGAAGGATGTCACTTGTACCCGGCACCGGACCGCTTGCCCGAACCTCACACCCAGGAGAAAACATCTGGTCATTATCGAGAACTTCAGGGTCCAGATTCACGAAGCAGTTGCGCAAGTACTTACGAACGTGTACACCTTTCCTCAATCTTTGACGCCTTTGGTTACATTTATTAAACAGTTTACAAACATGAAAACTTCCCAATCAACTGTTGTTATTGTTATAAACAGCCTCCTGGTGCTTCGGACCTCATTAACTGTTTAATAATTGTAAACAAAGTCGCCAAAGTTTGAGGAAAGATGTACAGGTACGTAAGTGCTTGCGTAACTGCTTTGTGAATCTGGCCCCCAGGAGATTTAAAATTACATCAGACCACTAAGAGCGACATCCGTGATCCAGTGGGTACAACATCTAAGAGTAACGTTAATTCAACGCTGGTAGAGCTAATTTACCGTTGAATTAACGTTACTCCTGGATATTGTACCTACAGGGTTATTGGAAATAA